TTGTCCATGATTACCTGTTTTCCTCAGTGAGGCACAGAATTTTACCCCGACTGGCAAAATTGACACATTACAATTTTCAGCTCTCACTTGCCCTGTGCTCTCTCTACAGAGCTCAATGTACTGCAATCTATAAAAAGTCCTAACTTCAGTTGAGTACTATCTTATCCCTGCATGACAGTGTTAACCCAAAAACTAGTTAAAACAACAACAAATAGCCAGTTGTGTGAGTTCAAGGCCAGCCTGGGCTACAGAGTAATGCTCTGTCTTAAAAAAAAATTGAAAGAAACAAATAAAACAATAAATGAACAAATGTCCCTAACATACCAACAGAATAATTTATTATGATCAGAGGTCAAATTAAATTCAACTCAACCTCTTGTCACAAAAAAAGAACACAAATGCCAATACAATTTAAAAACAATCTAGGTAAAGTAAAAATAAAATGAAAAAATTGTAAAAAATAGAAACTTAATCCATTTTCAAGACACAGTAGTTAACTCTGAATGGAAAAATTACTAGCAGTTAAAATGCCTAACCCCTGGTGTGGTGGCACATGCCCATGATCCAGCACTTGGGAGATTGAAGCAAGAGAATTGCTGCAATTTTGAGGCCAGGCTGGGCAACAAAGTAAGTTCAAGGCCAACCCAAACTGCACAGTGAACCTCTGTCTCAGAAATAAATAAATATAACAATAAAAATACATTTTGAAAAATTGCCTAACAGCCTGAAGACAGAACAAAGCTCAGGCATCTGAAATATCCTTAAGCAAACAGGACCTTAAGAAGAAATAAACTGAAGCGCTCCTGGCATGGGTCAGGAGGAGAACCAATACTCCTGAGATGCAGCCACAGTGGAACTTAGGTAGCTTGTTCTTCTGCCCTCTTCTGTTTGAAGGCAAAGGTTGTTTTCAGTATTTTGTGTTTTTATGTTTCTTTTGCTCTATTCAGTACTCTCAACTGGTTTTATAATGTTCTGTTTTTGGTTTGATTTTGCTATACCTAATTGACTGGACAACTATTGTGAAGATATGAAATTTACCATGGTACCTATTACTACCATCCCAGTATCCTACCGTGAAATTCTGTACCAATTTCACTGCATTGTCTTGATTGGCTTTGTTTTATCTTGTTCTGTTGTATTTTTACTGCATTCAAAATAAAATTTAAAAAAAGAAGAAGAAATAAACTGGCTGGGTGTTGTGGCACACACCCTTCCCATGCAGTGACTAGTCAGGGCTCAGAAAAAAGAATCGCTTGCTACCTTCTTCTTCACTGAAGTCTCTCTCTTAGCGCATCCTGTGGGCTTTCATTCTTGCTTCAGATCCTTGCTGGGCCTCAGGGCCACCAGGGCCTCAGGGCCACCAGGGCCTCACTTCCCTCTTTCATCTCTTCCTCACATTGCTATAGTCCAATGTCTGGACATGAATTCTCAGGGAGGCTCTTTCTCTGCTGCCCACCACTTCACCATCTTCCTGGAAGTCCAACTTGCTCTTTTTCCTGCTTTCTGCATATACTAAAATAGTATTGCTGTTCAAGTTTACTTGGAGAACCGTTATTCATCCAGTCCTAATAGGAATGTAAATATCTGAGAGCAAACTGTGGGACCGAGGTCAAAAACAAATTTTTTTATAAAGATACCAGGAACATTTTAAAATCCAAAGTTCCCACAGAGCTTATTACAGAAGGGAACTAATAAACAGGACAAAGACGGAAAAATAAAACAAAGTTATGGGTATGAGGATATATTTCTTGGTAAGCAAAGGTTTTTGTGTCTTAAGAATTTGCCCTACTAAAATGAAAAATGACAGCTGGGAGCAAAATGAGGAAATCTGAGTAAGTCGTTGTGGCTTGTGTCTAGATGTTCCTCCAAAACCTCCTGCGCTAAGTGGGGCTTTCTGAAGTTACATATGGCTAGATTTAGGGTACGTGATACTGAGATTAAGGGATTAAGGTGTGTGATACTAAATTAGTCCACTGATTGATGTAGCATAGTTCTAGGTATGGTAATGGGAAGGCCCAGCCTGGATCTGGACAGCAGCACCCAAAAGGATGGCAGCACAGATGGGGTAAAAGGGAAAGGTTAGTTTTGCTTCACTGTTGCTGCTTTATGCCTGCCTGGCCATGGACTGTTTCTCCTCTGCCATGGCCCTCCAGGTGACCTTGCCTTGGAGCCAGCTGCCTGTGGACTAAATCAACCTTTACAAACCATGAACTACTATAAACCTTTCCTATTTTAATTTGTGGGTGTCAAGTATTTTGTCTCAGTAATGAAAAAGTAACTAAGACATAAATCAAAAAGAGTTTTGTGCTGGACGTGGTGGTGCATGCCTGTCATTCAAGCATTCAGGTGGCTGAGGCAGGAGCATAACTGTGAGTTCGAGACCAGCCTGGGCTACTAAGTGAGGTCAGGCCAGCCTGAACTGCATAGTGAAACCCAGTCTCAAAAAGACAAAAAAAAAATTTTTTTTTGTGAAGGATGAGGCTTATAAAGTTATTCTTAACCTTTTGTTCTTATTGGTTTTGTTATGCTTAAGGTTGTTCCTTCCAAACCTCCTTGTCATTCAAATGTGGGTAAAGGGGTTATGACGCTGACTCTCTGTGGTCAGTCATTTCCTTCCAATGTGGGAACAGGTGACACCAACAACCAAAACCGTATTTCCTCCACAAGGCACAATGAAAACAATGATTGATCAGTGATGCCTTTAAAAAACTTTTACAAAGAGGGGAATGTATGGAAAGCATGAGTCGTGTCTGGCACCCCATGAGTGCCCCACCTGGCCCTGAATCCTGTTAAGAGGAGACAGGAAGTGACTAGATGGTGACAGCTGGAGATCAGGCAGTACTCCACCAACCCAGCATCCCACCCTGACCTGCTGTCCATCGCAAAGCCTGCCAGACCCACTGAATCAGATCCTTTTGTCAGCAAGCTTATTAAAGTTAAAAGCTGATGATCTGAAGAGGAAATGGTTCTTGTCAGATCCAGACAAAGCTAGAGCTTGGGCACAGTAACAGGGAAGACCTCTGTGTGTCTGAGATAAGCACTGCTTCAAGGACTTTTGAAGTGCCCCAGGAAAGATTCCTTATTCTACTGCACTACAGGATTTGCATACCTGGCACATGCATGCACAGATTTCTGTAATGAAGTTTATCTTCTATATACTCCAAGACTAGCAACTGAGACATTCTCTGGACAGAACTCAGCTAAGGCTGAGTTGCTGTTCTGACCAAGGTCAGCATGCTGATCTGACCAAGGTCCTGACAGATTTCAAAAACCAAAAACTGGGCTAAAGAGTGAAACAGTACCAACTTTGTAGACAACACTAGCTGTGGGAAAGGGAACACTCACAAGAGCCCCACACAAGAACACCCTAGTTCATAATCTCAGGGTGGGCTGTGAGGACTGAGGTTAAGGACAACGATGTACAGCAAACTGGTCAAGCTGACACTAGCCCAGGGTGACCCGAGAAATAGGGTACTGAGGAGCCTGTGACCAACTTGACCGTTGCTATAGATTTCCACATTTTAAAAAATGTAGAGGTTATAGAGATACAATTCACAATTCATCCACTTAAAGTGTATAATTCTGTGAGGTTTAACATATTCAGATGTGTGTGACTGTCACTACAATCGATGTTAGAACATTTTTATCAAATTTAGGACATTTGCATCACCCAAATAGAAATCTCATACTCATTAGCAGTCACTGCTTTTCCCCCTTCCACAAGACCCTGGAAATCACAAATGGATTTGCCTCTTCTGGACTTTTGTTTGTTTTGTTTTTTGAGACAGGGTCTCACTAAGTAGTTTAGGTTGGTCTTGAATCACTATGTAGCCCAGGCTGGTCTCAAACTTGTGACAACACTTCTGTGTCAGTCTCCTAAGGGCCAGAATTACAGGCATGTGCCCCCCCAACATATATGCACTCAATGGCATGTGGTCTTTTGTGTCTGGCTTCTTTAACTCTGTGAATTTATTTTTTTTATTTTTTAGTACCAGGCATTAAACTGAGGATCTCTTTCTTGCCAGGCAAGCACTGTACTGCTGAGCTATAGCCCCATCTCTACAATGTTTTCAAGAATAATCTACCTCATACAATGTGTCAGCGTTTCATTCAGTTGCTAAACAATATTCCATGTGGGCAGTACAGTGGTAGAGTGTTTGCTTGTTGCCTGGCATGCATGAAGCCCTGAGCTCTGCACACACATAATTGTGCAAGAGATAGTATGCATTTGCCTTTTTTATTTTTCGTTTTATTTTATTTTTATTTATTTATTTTTTGATGCAAGTTTTCACTATATGGCTAGTTTTCACTATCAGGCTGACTTGAACTCATTTTGTAGTCCAGGCTGGCCTCAAACTCGCAGCGATCCTCCTGCCTCAGCCTCCTGAGTGCTGGGGTTATAGGTGTGCACCACTACACCTGGCTACTATATTCTTATTCACCCATAGATTGATGGAGATTTTGGTTATTTTCACTTTTTTTTTTCAATTTTCACTTTCAACTATCATGAATAAACATGTATTTGTTTGACCTCTTGCTTTCAATTTTTGGGGAGTATTTACCCAAAAATGAAATCGCAGGGTGACACAGTAAATTGTTTACCTGCTTGAGGAATTACTGGGTTTATGCCGAAGCGGCTCTACCTTTTCAGATTCGCACCTGCGATGTACCCTGGTTTCCGATTCTCCACGTCTTCTTGCCACTGCGTGTCACTTGTTTTATGTGACAGCCTGAGAGTGATCCTAGTGGGTGTGATACTATCTTACGGTTTTAATTTGCATTTGCTTGGTGCTGGGGATGCTGAGCATCTTTACACGTGCTTGCAGGGAATTTGTACATTTTGTGCATCTTTGGAGCGCTATGCAGTTTTAGGACCTGGACCAGTTGTGGCAAAGGCTCTCCATTCCGGAGAAGACGGGCTTCCTACAGCCCAGCCGGGCTACTAGGAGGAAGGAAACGAGGCAGGCTCGGGGCGGGCTCGCAGTTAGTTCCGGGAGGGCGCCCGCGGCGCTCAGCTACGTCCGGCTGCGGTTTCACTTCTGGGTCCGGACATCTGCTGTCGGCGTGTGATCTCGGGTGGGGTCCTGAGCTGAGTAGGCGTCGAGACCCTTTTCGCTGCCTGGCTTCCTTCGCTTCCAGGACGTACCGTACCGGCCGAGGTGAGCTGTGCGCGAGCGCGGGCGCAGCAAGCACTCCCTGTGCGTTCCTCCCACCCCTACCCCATCCTACCCGCTCTGGGAAGCCCAGAAACCCCAGATACAGAGGGCGCTCGCCAGATTCTGGGAAGGCTGCCCAGTGCTCCACACACGGCTGGCAGGCTGTATTTGGGCTTGACCCTGAAGGCAGCCCTACAGGCACCCCAGACCTATTGCAGCCCCCCCCCCCCATCTGCAGCAGATTCCCAGTCTGGCTACCCCCGCACTTGGCTACTCCAGCACTTACTCAGGGCCCTGGTGTATGGTGCAGGCCAGATTTGGGCCAGGCCTCTGAAGTCTAAGCCCTGGATAGCTGGCTCACGGAGTTGTGGGCACAGGAGTGCCTGGAGGACACTGACCAGACTTGTCCATGGGGCTCTATATCAAGTTCCTGGAGGTGGGGATTTCTCTCTGCTCCTCAGCTGGAAAAAGGCTGTAGTAGGAGTGGGCACTGACCACAATAGCTACCACAAGCCTGTTGGCATTACAAGATATATAGCCCTTAGCTGTGAGGGGCTACCACTGGCCACCACACAACATTGGTGTGGATAGCTCGAATCCCACTAAGGGCTATGAGCAATGTCTCATTCTGGCGTGTTCTAGCCCAGATAGACAAACAGTGGCTCAGGGACAAAGTAGACAATGTTTCTTTCTGTGTTGGGTAGTACTCGGGGCAAGAGCTTTCTGCCACTCACAATGTGTCCCAGTATTATCTGGATAGGGACATGTTTTACTCAGCTTTCCCATCACTGGACAAAATACCTGACACCCAAAACTTAAAGGAGAAGTTAATTTTGCTCATAGTTTCAGTACACGATTGGCTAGCTCCAAGGCAGAGACCTCATGGCAAAAAGGATGGCAGAGCAGAGCTGCTTAGTTCCTAGTAGCCAGGGAACAGAGGAGGGAATAGAGTAGAAAGAAGGTGAGGAAGGGACGGGGGTCCATTTAGAACCTAAGGCCATGCCACCCTGATCCAGTCATATCTGTCAGTGTGTTTCATCAGTCTCCAGAGCAGATCCCAAAGCCAGTCAAACTGCAGCTCCCCCCAATACCACAGGCCACTTTGGAAGGACCGAAGTTCCCTGTGTTGGAGGCATCCAAGCACTGACCGACCCATCTGTCCTCCTCAAGAGAATGCCTTCAGCCTTCGAGGACGTGGTCCGGCGTGTGATCTGGGAGCTAGACCGCAGCGGAAAGCTCATCCCCGTAGACAGCCTTCAGAACTCTTCCAGCTTCCGGCCCTATTCGCTGCTGAGAAGGAAGCCCCCAAGCTCGTGGTTCTGGAAACCCCGTTACTCTTCTGTCAATCTATCAATCAAAGACATCCTGGAGCCTGATGTCCCCGTGCCAGGTATCCAAACTCACGCTGAGACAGAGCCCACTGGGTCAGGAAGAAGAAGGTAGTGGTCCGTGTCCTCTACCAGGGGGCAGGACAAGGCCATAGCCGGTGGGACAGGGCCTCAAATCTGTTTTTGCTTCAGATTTGGAGCGTGGTAGTACCATCCACATCTGTGATAACACGGACGGGAAGGTGCAGGGCAAAGTGGAGGTGGCAGTCCCAGGACAAGGGAAGATCGCAGGTGGGGCTGCAGTGTCTGGCAGCTCCAGCACCTCAATGAACTTGTGCACCCTGAGTGTGAACCCAAACACCTGGGATCACATGCAACAAGAGAGGTGAGTCCCAGAGGGGACAAAGGCCCTCTGAACCAAAGTAGCTGGGTTCTTGGGAAGGCCACAGGAGTGCGTTAGGACAATTCCCAGAGGTCGTCTGTGTGAGCACTGAGTAGGGAAGTCCCAGAGGTAAGGGAGTACTGTGGCTGATGGTGGGTCGTCAAGGAAGGAGACTACGTGGGCCAGTTGCCAGTAGTGATCCTGAGGGCTGGGTTGGGTGGGCAGAGCCTGTCCACAGGCTGCTGTAAGAAGCGAGTGGTAGGGACACAGCATGACGGGGAGTGGAGTATGGACAGCACCCCCAGGGTGCTGTCTCCCCGCTGAACCTCCTCTCACCACCTCGTACCCACCTAGACACCATCAGGTATGCTCAGGAAATATGTCTATGCCTGGTGTATGCGGACTCTGGATGGCTTCCCTGCTGGACCCTGCCTACTCGTGGGGTCTGGAGAGGAAAGCCAGTCTGTCGTGGGTGCATCCCAGTGAGTTTCCTACAGGCGACTGCGGCAGCCAGAACACAAGATTCTACAGGAACTTCGGAGTCGCAGGGACGACGTGTATGTGGTGAAGGAAGTGGTGCAGATACAACAGGAGGTGGTGGTCTCTTGTACTCGCAAGCTGGAGGGCTCAGGCCAATGTGCTCTGCCTGCAGCCATGTGCTTGAAGGTGTGTGGCCAGCCCTGGGCCCTGCCTGACCCCATGACAGCAGCAGGAGTAGGAGAGGCTAGACCAACATCCCAGGGTGCCGGCATCAGTAGGGCTGGATTCTTTCCAGACCCTTCCAGGAGATCTCACAGCTCCATACTTGACCAGAACCAGAGCTTCCCAAAGGCTGAGTTGGCCACCACCAATGGCAAGCCTGTCCCCAGTACCCAACCCAAACCCATGCCTATAACTCTGAACCCAGAACACAGCCCTGAACCTGTATCCATCCCTCAGGGTGATGGTGAGGGCCACTTCAGCCAGGAGAATACAGTGACCATCCCTGCAGGCAGCATCATTGCATTCCGGGTGGCCCAGCTGGTCATTGACACTGACTGGAGTGAGTGAGGGACTGGGTGTGTCTCTGGGGCTCTGGCTCTATGGCAGAGGCAGGAGGCCTGAGGAGAGAGTATTGTGGGCATCTAGCTGTGCTCTGGTGTGTGGGTGACTGGGGCAGGAATTCACTTGGCAGGGAAGCCCCTTGGGTAGAGGCAACCCAACGACCTGCCTTTCCCTGTCTGCTCTGACCTGCTGCCAGGCATCTTTCACTTCCCAGATAAGAAGCAGAGGACCTTCCCGCCACCCTCGACAGGTGAGACCTGAGGACCTCTAGCCCAGACTGTCCAGTGAGATAAGCCTATTCCTTTTACCACTGAGGATATCTCTCATGCTCAGGGAACAGCATAGCTAGGTAGCCTCTGAGCAGAGCCTCTGAACAAGTGTGGTGGCAGGTTATGGTGGGACCGCTTGGTCTCCTGCATTTCTTTGGGTGGTCAGTGTTAGGAGTGGGGTAGGGTATGGACTGGGAGCCCAGGGAAGCCTCAGTACTCTCTGGCTCAGGGACCCCTCCAAGCACTGAGCAGCCCAGTCCTCCCTTCCCATCTCACATCCTTCCCAGGAAGCCAGCCACAGCATACCTTCAGCCTCTCCTCAGTGTTGGGACTCATCCATGAGCGTTTCAGGCTCCTGACAGGTCAGTACCCCTTGACCACTGCTGGTACTCCCACAGGTTCCTCTCCATGAGCGTGCCTTTCCTGACCAGTGTTGTCCCATGCAGATAGTGTCTCTGAAAAATGGGAGATCACAGAAGACTTCCAGGGCCTGCGCACAGAGGTGGAAGCTGGCTCTGCAGAACTGCAGAAGATGGAGAGGGACCTGAGGCAGCAGTTGCTGCTGAACCTGGAGAAGATCCTGTGCGACCCCTCAGCCCTAGAGGACTTAGAGGCTTTGGTGAGTGGTGTGGCAGCGGGCAGGGGGACAAGGTCTTCCCCAACCAGCCAAGGCTCACCACCACCTCTACTGTAGCTGGCACAGGGTCTGTGTGGCGCCAGGCAGGTGAAGCCTCTGCATGGTCCAGCAGATGACATCCTTGAATGCCTGGTGCTCCCCTCCCGGATGCTGGTGCCTGAACTTGCTGCCCCTGTCTTTTACCTTCTGGGGGCACTGAGTGGTGAGTAGCTCCTAGGGTGGGTAGATATGTATAGCACAAAAGGAAGGACTGGGTTCCCTGCTGGGACTTCCAAAATATCCTCTCAGCCCAGGTCTCTCCCCAGCACTGAGTGAAACCCAGCAACAGCTGCTGGCTAAGCTGCTGGACAAAGGGGACCTGTCAACACAACTTGAGCTGGTGAGAAAGGCACCACGTGGAGGAGGAAATAGGGCTCTTGGTACCTCTGGAAAAGGTGGTATGGGCAAGTGTTTCATGTTCAGGGGCTTAGGCCCAGTGCTCCTTATCTTAATAGGTGGACCACCTCTTAGAACAGAGCACCCCATGGCAAAAGCAGAGTGATGTGTCCCTGCCCCCCAGGCTCTCTGAGAGTAACTGGGGAGAGGAGGCACCATCGTGGACCTTGCTGGAGGAATGTGGTCTGGAGCTGCAGGTGGGCGCCCCCCAGATACACTGGGAGCCTCAAGCCCAAGGCCCCACCTGCGCACTCTATGCTTCCCTGGCCCTGCTGTCAGGACTGAGCCGAGAGTCCTGCTAACCTGTGCCCACACCCTAGCAGCCTCAGGAAAGCCAAAAGTCCAACTCAACTGCAGGGCCAGTTCACCATGATTCTCAAGATGGGGAACTCAATAAATGCGATATACATGTGTTTGCTTTGGCAGCCCATGTAATAAGCGGGATGTATAAAGGAAAGGATGGTCACTGAGTGTTTTGAAGGGTGGTGGATCGGAGTAGGGTGGGTATGGGTGGGAACCATGTCATTGTAAGACCCGAAGGGACATAGAGACCAAGAACAAGCATCTCTCCCCATCTTCCTGAGGTTGAGGAGAGCCTGCTCTTGGGTGTGCTCATGCCCCCAGTCTCCCCAGCACTCTTGCTTGCCTGTGAAAGATGGGCAAAGAGATTTATGAGCAATAGCTGACAGGCAGATACCCAGAACTGCAGGGCCACACAAAGGCTCCTCGAGCAGCAAGTGATGACCATCCTGTAGACACAGAGATCAGGGCCTCCCAACTGCTTGTGGGTCTCTGGGAAGTCTGGGTTTCAGGGCACAGGTGAGTCCACTTACTGTAGGACCCAGCATCCTAGCTACTCTGTCCCTCAGGAGAAATGCGCATAATTGATATAGCCAGGGTCCTATGGTCACCCCTGAAAGCTTAGATGCCAGGAGTGAGTTTGCTTGATAGGAAACACAGTCCACCTGTGCAGTCTGTCTCAGCCTGGTAGAAGGCAGAGAAAGTGGCATTACACTCTTCTGTCTTAGAACACCACTGGCATGCAATCTTTTGTTTTTGGTTTTGTTTTTTTGTACTGTCTTGTGACAGGGTTTCCTTATGAAGTTTAGGCTGGCACTGAACTAGTTTGTAGTCTAGCTGGCTTCAAATTCACAGCAATCCTCCTACCTCAGCCTACTGAGTTCTGAGATTACAGGCATGTGCCACCACACCTGGCCATTTCATTTGCAGGAATTGCTAACAAAAAGGAACAGTAGGTTTTGCTATGGCTGCGATACTGAAACTCCAAGAAAACCCAGCAGTGGAATTAATATTGAAACAAAAGGCAGAGTACACTGAAAATATCTCAGATCTAGATTATAAAACTCTAGAAATCAGTCTCCACATATGGTGAAGAAGCTCAGCTCTTCTCAGGTTCACAGTCCTCTTTTGAAAACCTTTCAGGTAATTTGAAAGTAAAACCTGGGTGAATGGGATCAAGCCCTATAAAGCGCTGACCAGGTAGGCACCACAGCACCACTCTGAAGCCCCAAAACCCTCAAGGCCAGACTGTAAGCAGGTTCTTCCAGCCCAACCAAGCTCCATTTGGAGGGCCCAACTGTTGGCCCTTGAATCTGGGACCATCAATGAGGTCTTCAGCAACAAGGACTGTGAGAGCAATGCCAGCTGGCCACAGGGCAGGGCCTGATCTGGAAAGGGAGTGCCTGAGTCAGGGTAGAGCCACCCCTGGTCCTCTGAGCCGCAGCTGCAGCTGGAAGATGGGCTTGGATGCTGCAGCTGTGGCATCCCTGTCGAGGGGCCAGGCCACTGGTGGTTTTCCTGCAATTCCGGCAGAGGTGGTTTAGTGCAAAGTCACATTCCCAGGGGCCATATATATTTTACGTGAACCAAACTTCTTGGCAGAGAGTTCAGTGTGGCCTGCAGCTTCTGGAACAGGGCTAAGTAGGTGGGGTAGACATGTACCCAAAACAGGGAACACAAGATAAGACAGCCTGGATCCCAGAAGTCTTCCAAAGGGTAGTGTGTGAGCTCTTCCTAGTACCACAGAGCTGGGCTTACAGGGTATTGCCTTGTTTACCACAGTTGCCTCCCAACCTGAGCCCCTATCTGAGGGTGGGTCCAGGCATTATTGAACTTGCCCACTGGATGATTCAGCCATACCCTGTAAGGGATGCAGATAAACCTCTGCATGATGGAGATGGTGTCACATATTCACCCCTGGGTTCCGCAAGAAGGGTGGGGTGAACAGGTTTCTGAGGGGGAGAGCTGCTCCTGAGGGGATCCATTTAGGCTGTGTCCTGACACCCAGCCCTACATGTGAGTGACACCTGGATAGAAGGCCGCCTTGAGAACTCCTGAAGGCCATTGTGCGTGTCCACAGTGTTTCTATCCAGGCTTCTTCCCTCCCTCCCTTTCATTGGTGTCTGGTGGTCTCCAGCATTTTCCCATTTTGGCATCTGCTTTGTTTTGTTGTTGTTGTTGTTGTTTTGGTTTGGTTTGGTTTGGTTTTTTTAGGGTTTTTTTTCTTTTTTGAGACAGGGTCTCACAATATATTCAAGCCTGGCCTTGAACCCATGATGTAGCACAGGTTGACCTCTAACTCAAAGTAATCCTCCTGTCTTAGCCTCCTAAGTGCTGAGATCATAGGTGTGCATCACCATACCTGGCTTAGCATTTGCTCTGGAAGATCCAAACTAATGTGCTGATCCTTACCTCCCGGCTCCATGAAGACCTGGGCCCTTGTCCTGACCCTAACCTGCTCTGAGGACCACCTATGGAGACCCCAGTGCCAATCCTGATGGAGCTTTGAGCCCACTGATTCAGTGTGTTGGAGTATAGTTCAGCTTGCCCTGTCTCAAGGCAGAGCCAGCTGACCCTGGCCAAAACCTGTTTGCCAGCTCAAGCTGCCTGACCTTGAACCTGCCACCAGTCTGACCCTTACCTGTGGCCCCACAATGCTTCACTTGTTTTCCTAGCAGAAGCCAGACTTCAGGTCTGGTGTACTTTGCACATAAGCATTCTCAGACAATCTCCTGAAATCTATGGGTATTTATATATTATTTTATTTTTTTAAATTTCCATGTGGCACAAGAGAGATGAGGTGAGCAGGACCCCATGCCTACCCCTGAAGACCCCCAGTATGAGGGAACAGCCCAACGCTTCACAATGAGGCCTGGAAAGTTCAGCATATGCCTCAACACAGGCCTTCTGGGTGAGGGGACTTGCCCAGGCAAGCACCCAAAGGAATGAGGTCACAGCTTTGGCAGCTCTCAGAGGGGCCTCTTCCCATCTGCCCAGTCCCATCGTTTGTACTCAGCCCTGTACGAGGTACTGAGTACTATCACCCCTGCTCACAGCCTGGTATGGGGTGCCCCCACCCCATACCTCACCCCCCGCCCCACTCCCAGCCTTTGCTGTCCAGCAGGAAGGGATTCGAAACAAGGAAGTCTTTCAAGGGTCCAGTTTAGCTCAGTGGTAGAGTACCTACTGGGCAAGCAGTGAGATCCTGAGTTCAATTCCTGGTATGTAAAAAAACAGTTTTCTAAACAAGATCACACTTAGGCATGGGAGATCATGTGACCAACAGAAGGGGCTAGCAGGTATGAACAGCAGAGCAGGTCAATGCCTTTTAAGCTCAGGAGATGTGACCCAAGACAGCAGTCAGGAATAGCTGACAAGTTAAATAATGGAGTGATGTCTGGTGGTGAGGAAGGCTTGCACAGGTGGGATAGCCCAAGCTAGGCAGGAAGCAGAGGCCCAGGAAGTGGTCAGGTTCTCTGGCAGCACAGTGTCCCTACTAGATTCTGGTTTGGGAGGTCAGAGGTGGTGCATGCCACAGTGTAGGCCCAAGTTTTTCCAGAGGGCAGGAAGAACAGTTGTGACATGGAGAAAGACCCAGTGGTCAAGAGGTGAGAGGCTCAGGATGAAACGGTGTCTGTCCCTCTTCCACACTGCATTATGTTGGTCTTAAAGGGCAGTCCCAGGACAAGGGCCTGGTGTCCAGCACCAGGCTCAGGGGACCTTATTTGAAGCTGTTCCACAGGTTTCTTGCTGTCGGGACCAGTGAACACAAGGATGCAATGCCTGTGTTAGAAGCCAGGCACTGGGCCAGGTGAACAGGGTCCATTGCAGCCCCATCGGCCCTCAAGACTCCGGCGCTGGAATGGGCTGTCAGCATAGCACGGTGTGGGCCTGGCTGGGCAGCTGTTTCCAGAGATCAAGCATAGGAGGTGGCCTCGGCTTGGTCGGCTCTGTGTGCTGGCCAGCAGCGCCACCTGCTGTGTGGACACGTGTGCCGCCGCAGCAACAGAGGGTTCTGGGTCACTGTGCAGTTGCCCTAGGTCTGAGCAAAGCAGCAGCTCAGCTCAGATCCTGAAGGGTGGGAGGGGTGCCTTAGCCTGGCCCTGACCTACTTACTCCCCTCCACTCTGCCCTAGTACTGCCATCTCTCTAGGACCCCAACTCAAAAACGTTGGGTTCTCACCCTGGAATAGGGAGTCCAGCAGATCCTGGTTGACGTGGCTAGGGCTCGAATGGTAGACAAGGAAGCCTGGACCAAAACAAATCTGTGAGCTCCATCCAGCCCCATGCCCCAGAAGGGAGGGGCTGGTACAGCTTCCAGCACCCTGTTGGAAAAGACTAGCACCTCAGATCTGCCTCACCTAGAAGCACAGTGGCAGCTAGACGCAAGGGATCCTGTGGGCTCCTCAGGTAGCCTTGGGTCTGGCTCAGGAAGCAGGGGATGTGGCTTGGGTATCTCTGAACCTGGGAATAGAAGGGCCTATAGCAGGACAGGTGCACTAAGCCTGCCTGGAAAGGAAGGTACAAAGGCATCTCAAAAAACTGAGGTTCCCTAGGAAGCCCCTGGGGAGGGCAGCACAGATTGAAGCTGTGGATCTGCCCCATCAGGAAGATGGTGGCCAGGTCTGGTTGTTGGAGGGAGACTGGCCTGGAGAATCCTGAACCAAGTAGGCGGCTAACCACACCCCCTTACCAGCCCCTGCTTCCTCTACTAACCAGGCGATGGCAAACACGGCTTAGAGCCTCTGGGCTGTCGTAATGGGCCACAGTGACCATCTCCTCCAGCAGGCCCCAGCGAAGGGCCTCATCACAACGGGCTAGGGTCCACTCTGAACTCTGACACAGGGGAACGGAATAGGATTAGGGATTCAGAAAGTGGCAAGATCTAAAGAGAAGGGGTTGTGGGTAGGTGGAGGGTGGGAAGTGCCCAGGGCAGAGGGCTTAAGTAGAGTGGCTTGATGAAGACTAGAAACTTGGAAGACTTCAAGGTCCTCATGGGTGTCCTTGACCTATAACCTGGGGAGGGGCCCTCAGAGGTGGAGGGAGGTGTAGATGGTGGTACAGCTGACCTCAGCAGTGTCTTGGCTAGGGTCATGCAGGCGCAACAGCAATGGCACAAGACTCTGCAGGACCAGCTTCCGAAGAGGGCCATGAAGTCCCATCCGGAGCCTGCCTCGGCCCTGTCGCACCAGCGTACCCAGGAGCCCAATTGCCAAGGCACGGACTGAGTCCCGAGCCTGCAAGGAAGGGAACAGTCAGGACAGTGGAGAGAGTGAAGGGTGCCAGGATGGAAGGAGCAGCTGGGAGGAGAAGCAGAGAAAGCCTGGGGAAAGGCCAGGGAGGGGCTGGGTGACCATGGGGCCAGGCACAGCTGGGGGTAGGGTGGAAGGACAGGCCAGGGCAGGGGCCTTGCTCACGTCATCAAGCAGTGGTGGGAGGCGTGGCCTCAGGTGTGAGCTCAGGAGCCGCAGTGGCACACCTGGCTGGACCAGAAGCCTCCGCAGTGCACCCAGTGCTGTACCCACAAGCCGCACATCACCCTCACCCAGTGCGCCCAGCAGCGCAGGCAGCAGAGTGCTCATGTGCCGTACCTGTGGGGACAGGGACTAGTGGCCATCCTGGGCAGACTTTGCCCCACTCCCACTCCAGCCAGGTCTCACCTTCCCACAATTTAGGGCCAGGTGTCTGAGGCCTAGCAGACCCAGCCAGCGCACTGTGGACTCAGGGTCACGCTGCCAGGTGCAAAGCCACTTCAAGATGATGTCTTCCTGCAGGAGCCGTGCAGTGGCCCGGCTCTGTAGCAGCTAGCAGGGGATATAAAGTCAGCAAGCTGTGTGGGCCAGGGCCACTTAGGGTTCAAGTAAGCGCCCCCCCCCCCCCACCATCCCTCACAACTTTTCTGGGAAGTGAGCTCACCCCAGTGAAGAAAGCCATAGCTGTAAGACGCTGTGGGAGATCAGCGCTGCGCAGCCGGGGAAGCAAGTCTGCGAAGAGGCCTCTCAGGTGGTGGTCTGCGTGTGCCACCATGGCACTGGGATGAGGTAAGTGGGAGCTCTCCTTCTACTTGAGGCCCTTGGAGAACACCCAGTCCCCTCCCCCTGCCCTTGCTTTGTACCTGGTCAGCAGCAAGCCTCCAGGTACACCCTCTGGAAACCCCCCTCACCTGGCCAGCAGCAGCACACCCTCCAAGTGGGTGTGGGTTCCTACTAGTCTCCTCCAGCCTCCTGCCTGCTCCATGCACGTGACCACCATCCGGCCACCATCCCCTGTGAGCAGGGCCTTCAAGGCCTCCACAGTGCTGCTGAGATGGGAGCAGCAGGTGAGTGGACAGTGAGGGCCAAGAAGGTACTGGCCCACTCCCTCCATACCCACTGTCTTTTCTTTCTTTCTTTCTTTCTTTCTTTCTTTCTTTCTTTTTTTTTTTTTTTTTCTTTCTTGGTACCAGGGATCAAACTTTCAACCTTGTGCTTGCCAAGCAGACGCTTACACTACTGAGCTAAATCCCCAGCCCTCCACTGTCTTTTCTTACCTGGCATGGCTGTGTGGTGGCCCTCTGTGGGACAGGACCCAAACCTTAGGACTGTCAGGAAAGCATCCACCACGAGCCAGCTCATGTAGCTGTGTGACCAATGCAAGCAGTAGGTGTGGGTAGAAGCCACGTGTGGCTCCCACACAGCCTGATACAGCCAGCATCTCCCCAAGGGCACGTGTGGCCTATAGAACAAGCAAGCAGTTCACTCAGGCTCAAGTTGCACAGGGGCCAAGCCTGGCTCTAGAGGGCCAGTGCACCAAGACGGGGTGAGAACAATCCTGAAGGGACATACATGGTTCACTTAACTCATCTCTGCCTGGGCCAGCTGAAGTTACTCACCGCTAGTGCCTGGGGTTCAGGCCCAGAAGCCCCCTTCAGTGCCCATAACAGTTGCACCAGCACCTGCCCGTTTACGTGGTGGTTCCGACTTAGGCTACGCCACAGCTCAGCTGCTGCTCTGGGGACATAAGGCGCCCCAGCATGAGACAGGGTTGGGTAAAAGGCCAGGGTTGGGGGGGCTGCTGGGGCTGAAGTAGAGACTGCCAATAAAACTCCAGTAGGGTGAGGGGGGAAACCACCTCTTCTCTCTCCCCATCCTGAGTCCTAAAGGGAATAAGTGGCAACTGTAAAGATCACAGCAGAGCTGGATCCACAGGTTCAGCTGCCAGGTGGTAACCCTCCAGAAGCCCTGTCAGGTAAACAGTGAAACAGACCTTGTATTATTTTTTAAAAATATATCACCATAGAGAATAAAAATAATAACTTATAGAGCGAAATTAAGGAGAGAAAGGGTCATCTGGGTGCCTGTTTGCTCACCCTGATCCAGAGGGAAACTCTAGACCTGGTCCCCAGGGCAAATCCACTTCCTCATCTGAGCCCCTGCTCCCAAGAGAAGACAGCCCCAAGGCAGGACCCCAGAGTCAGCGATCCCGAGACTAGATAGGCGGTTGCTGAGCTAAAAGGAGCATGGATGGGAGGCAACAGTCGAGAGGAGAGAATTTGGAGGCCCTGCACCATTACTGCTCCCTGCGAGTCATTGCCAAACTCTGTGGCCAAGCGGGAAGAGGGAAGGAAGCTGCGTGGGGCCACAGGGAAGTAGGTGGGGCAGGTTACCGATCCGGGGGCAGGGAGCGCGGCAGTAGTGCACGCACCACGTCCTGCGCGTGCTCTAGAGCCAATGCACTAAGAACTCGCAAAGCCGCCCGCCGGGGCCGCCCTTCAGCCAGGTTGGGCACCTGTGCCAGCAGCCCGCGCACCAAGGCATGCACCTGGGTGGAGAAAACAGACGTCAGCAGTCAGGTCTCCTCAACTCTGAACTGACCCTCACAAGAGCCAGCGCGCCCCACCCCCACTCCACTGCACCTTGCACCCTGCATACATGTGAAGCAGTAGGCGGGTTCCAGATCCCTGTTTTGAGGGCTACCCATAGGAGTCTCAAGGGTAGAGAGGGAGTGGGGACTGACCTGGTCTTCCAGCTTCTCCCCCCTGGCCTCCAGGGCTGACGACAAGGTGAGTGCTGTGGCTTGGGTCCCCGCAAAGCCAGCCTCCTCCAGGCAGGTAGCCGTGTACATGGCCAGGTCAGTGAGGGCGCCCTCCTCCCGGGAATTCTGGGGATGGGGGAGGCCCGGGCCGGGTGAGTGAGTTTCCATCAGCCCTCCCAGTTTGCTACAAAAAATCCACACCCCTGTATGTTCTCAGTCCTTTTTTTTTTTGTACCAGGGATTGAACTCATGACCTTGTGCTTGCCAGGCAGGCACTTGTGTCCACTGAGCTACATCCCTGACTCTCCAGTCCATTTTACCCTCCAGTATCTTCCCCCAGCTCAGGAGCCCTGGGCCATGTAGTGTCCAAGTGAGAACCTAAAAATGAGCCACCTTCAACCTGTCCCCCACAGTGTCCCATGCCTTACCACTCACCTGCTGGGGTCCCTCTGGGACTGCCTCCTGAGCATTGTGCTGGCAGTAGGGCTCATTGCCAGCTGCAGGGGCAGAGGCCCCACTTCCAGGCTCAATCCCAGAGGCAGTGGTGGCAGCCCAGACCTGAGTCTTAGCCTGAGGCTCAAGTTCCCAGGGCTTGGGCCCAAGGCTGGTGGAAGGAACTTCCAGGGGTTGTGCCTGGCAGGCTCGAATCCCTTCAGCTACAGCTGCCAGAGTTAGGGCTCCCAGGCTCCGGCCCCTGCCCCACACACCACCAGCCATGTTGTCCCAGAATAGATCTGCTCCTCCCAGGAAGTCCTGCCCAGGCAGGCTTGACCTAGAAGCAGGCCCCGGGCGGACCTACAGCCAGGCCCATGAACAGATGTGATGGCGTGTGTGTGCGTGCCTGTGTAAGCATGTGGTAGGAGTGGCCAGGGAATATAGTCATCCTGGTAAGGGCTTATCACAGACCCCTCCTGCTCAGGCTGCTGAATGTGAACAGCCAGCCTGAAACCAGTGTCTGTGATATGGCTCTTACCATATGTAGGGCAGAGAGAGCAAATCAAGGTCAGTGAGAAGGGCCCTGAACCCTAACATTCAGCCTGTCTTGCCTGAGCCCAAAGTAGATGGTTCTTAAGAGATGCCAGCAGGGTCAGGAGCTGGGCTGATGTCTCTATATTGTGACCCAACTAGATATCTGGGAATAGGTGTCAGTGGGTAGATGCTGTCACCATCTCTGAGCTTGGGGCATCCCTCTCAAGTGCTTTTGCAGGTGCCCACCATTGTAGGGGTGGGCCCTCCTGGATGCCTGGGACTGTGTAATTGAGAAGGTTTGCCCTGAGCCTGTCTAGGCACTGCGCGCTGATGAGTGTGTGTCTACCTCCTTCCGAACTCACGCTCCCTGGGCCTGCCTATTTGGGCTTCTGCCCTAATTCCCCACCCTCCACCCTTACCCAGTCACACAACAGGCACTGCCCATCCCTGAGTCAAGGGAGCCAGCCAAGCTGGCCTGGTGGAATACCTGGGTAGGTGGATTGCACCAGGAAATGCCCCAGGAATAGCATTCATTCCCTCCATGCCTTTGTTGGCTTGTGGACCTCAGGCTGCATGGACAGGTGAGGCCTAGGGCCTAGAGTCCCCTCCTGAGCTGTTCCCTTTTTTTGAGACAGGATCTCACTCTAATTCAGGCTGGCCTTGAACTCATTATGTGGCCCAGGGTGGCCTCCAATCCATGCCAGGCTCTGAGCAGTTCCTTTGTTCCCTAAGATTACTAGCTTGTTGTACAGGGGCAGGACCAGCACACCCCCCCACCCCCTCTACCCCCCGCCCAGACACTTCTTGAAGCTACCTAGCTGGGCTCCTAGGTCAGAAGCTGAGGCCCCAAGGCCAGGACCTCACCTGTGGCCTTCTTGGGACTCTGGCTGATACCCCATTCCACACTAGGGACTCTGGCAGTGGAGATCTTCTGCAGTAACTCCCCCAGCTTTGAGGCAGACTCCTAAACCCTCCCTGGTCAGCCTCAGCTCTGGTCCCCATGGTGCAGCTGGGATGAGAGTAAGAGGTTCTAGCTGACTCTAGTGCAACCCTCAAGGGCCCAGGAGGCCAAGAGAGCAACAGACTGGGTGAACAAATGACACATGACAAGTTGTAGGGACAGCAAGTGATACATGTTATTTCTAGGCAGTCCCTACCCCTGGAATTCTCATGGGGCATTTTGGCTACTCAGGCTGTCTGCCAGACGTCGAAGCTTCTCAGAGAGTGCAACCTGCAGAGAGAGGAGGCAGCTGCTGGTGGGCAGCTATGGGACAGAGGGTGGCCCACCTCCAGAGCCTGTGCCCACCTGGTACTGCACAGGGCTCTTCAGCTGTCTATGTGCAGGGCTAAGGCGGCTCAGGGACCACTGGGCAAAGGCCCTGGACTCTGTCAGAGATGGAAGTGGTTCACAGAGCTACAAAACAAGAAAGGAGGAAGCATGGAGAGGCTGGCTCAAGCCAGGGCTTAGTCAGATGTGAAGGAGTGGGGTGCTGGTGTGAAGTATGTATATGGGGGTGAGGGACACCTGTCCTTCTTGCAGCCAGAGTCTCAGTAGTGGCTCCACCTGAGCTGGTCTCACAATGCTGGGCTCCTGGGAACCTCGAAGCCAAACTCTCAGCTCTTGCCCAGCCTGGGGTGGTGGCTCTTCTGCCAGCTGCAGCAAGTCCATTAGCAGAGATCCTATGTGCATGTAGGGGAGGCAAGAATAACATGGAGGCGAGCTGCACCCTTAGAGGACAAGATGGGTGTGGGAAAGGGCTCACCATCAGAGGCCAAGAGCCGGAAGGCAGCCTTGCTCCCTGGTAATGTCTGTTTCTCAGGGTCCTCAGTTAGCTTCATTCGGGGCTGGCCTCCCACAGATACAAGCTGCAGGAAGGTGTTGGGATAGGCAGGACCTGTCCCCCACCCTTCAAAGTCCTTCAAACCCACTCTGCCTGGGCCCAATGTTCCCACCTTATACACACAGCCCAGTGAAGGCTGCTGGGGACAGGTGACCACGCTCGTGCCAATGCCGATGATGTTTACCTCACTGCCCTAGGAGGAGAGGTGACAGCGAGTCCAGCAGGACTTGCAGGGTCCCAGGACCTTCCCAGCCACCCTGGGCCTGCCTGTCTCTTCTGCCCCACCTCCTGGGCCAGCCGGGCCAGCTGTTCCTCGTCAATGTTGTTGCTGACTGCGATGGGGATTGACTCCAGCCAGGGTACCTGGAATCTACATGCAGTGGGATTTGGGGAGCTCCATAACATGCTTGACTCACCCTGACCTCCTTTTGTCCCATTCAGCCATACCCATACTTATTCTTTGGTTAGGATCTCCTGGTTAGGAGCCTCCCTTTCAGGGCCTGCCCTCTAGCCCCTAAAACCAGCCTGGGGCTCTAGGTATTGGGACAGAACACCATCCTTCTCCATCCCAACCCCATTTCCTAGCTTCCCTAGAGCCTTTTAGCAAGCACACCCTCTTGGGGGGACTCACTGGGCAGCAACGGTCCGAAAGATCCCTCGGATCTCCTGAGCCTGCTGAAGCAAATCTCCACTGTCCAGCCTCACACCCACTGGCCTGTAGCCCAGCTCTCCCAGTGCCAGAGCCACTGCTAGGAAGTTGGGGAGACCACTCCTGCAAGTGTAGATAAGAGGCTGGGGGCTGCAGCTGCTTTGCCAAGCCCATCCCTGGGGGAAAGTCTGGGGCTTACCTCCTCACACTATAAGAGTCCAGCAGGCCCTGGAAGGCCCGGGGAAAGGCTAGAGCATAGGCTACAAAAGCTGCCCGCTCCCCTGAGTGCGGCTCCTGCACCCCCAGGCCTAGGCAGGCACACACTTGCTCCAACCACAACTTTACACTGGCAGCCAGGTCAACCTTGGGACTCCCGCCAGCAGCTGTAGTCAACATCTGTGGAGAAGAGCCACGAAGGATGGACCCAGAGTTCAGCAAAACCTGGGAGTGGCCAATATACTATGATCTGGTGCAAAGGTAACGTCACATTTGTGCCAGCTTCCTGGAGTAGCCCTGGGACCACTTGCCCAGGGTGGCATCTGCCAATATGCATGGCTGAACCCAGCCCACCCCTTCAAGGACAAGAGTTAGCCTTGGGGTCTACCCTCAGTAAAATAGCATTGAGATACTAACTGGGTTAGGAGGCACCTCGTTGCCAGAAAACGAAGTGATGAAGGAATGGGCCAGGGTTCCAGCCACCGGAACACCCCGCAGCTGCCCAGCAAGCACATTGCTGCTATTGTTGAACCCTAGGTGAAGGAGTTAGGCTTGGGGGCAGCACTGGGGTAGGGGTAGGTGGGGCCTCTCCCCACTCCTTGCCTCCTCCCTGCCCTCACCACCCAGGTAGCTGTAGGTGGAGGCTGTGAGCCCCCCATCTGGGCCCTGAGCCCTCCGAAGGCCCAGCTCCAGCAGTTGCTTATCAGGTCCTGCGATCAGGCGAAGTCGAGCTGCATTGGTGGCCACCAGGCTGTGTCAAGGAGACAGGGGACCCAACTGGCTAGTGAGAAAAGTTCTGCAAGAAAGCAGTTACCTCCCCTACTCCTTAAATTATGGCTAAGCCCAAGTCCAATCACTGAGCCCCACCTGGCATAGCTGACCAGACAGAGGAGCGGAGTCTCCAGAAGCTGCACTAGCAGAAGTGGACCTGACACCTGCAGTAGGGGCACCTGTGGAGAGAGTGACCAGAGGCAGCCCTGACACCTGCAGGAGGGCACCTGTGGAAGGGTAATGAAGCTCCCCAGCAGCCACATTGTTGCCCTCTGGGAGGGCTCCCCCCGCACTCACTCCCGGGAAGGCGAGAGAGCCCTCAGGCAAGGCCCGCAAGGTCACCGCGGAGCAGTCTAGGGACCGGAGGTGCTGGAAGAACTCTGGGTCCGTGTCCGCGGGGAGCACCGAAGCCAGGAACTGCACATCTGGGATGACAGGGACGCTTGTGTTTGGGGATTCACAGGGTCAGGGGACCTTATCCCAGTAATGACGAATAGGAGTCTCGTGCAAGGGAGAAGCGTATGCACACTGGGCACGGGGGTCCTCCTTATAAGGGGATCTGGGCAATGCCTTTTGGGAGTCGGAAGTCTCATCGGGGCCGTGGAGAGTCCAGTTGGACGCGGGACTCCTGTGAGTGGGACTGCCCTGGAGGTCTGCGGGGATACCTTCATCCTGCAGGCGAAAGGTACGCAGGAATCGAACGCAGTCGCGTAAGCCCGCGGCCAGGGCGAAGGCGCCACCGAATGGGCAATGGCGGAAGAAGAGCTCGAACTCAGCGGGGTCACATGCCCGGCCAGCACACCAGTAGCCGAGCGCCATGGTGGCCTGGTACAGGTCGGTGAGCATTGGACGTGCTGCTGCGCGACCCTCGCTGTTCCCCTCGGCGGCCATCGTACAGTGCTGCCCCGCGTGACGCACCCAGACCAATAGCGGGACTAGTCTTGCCTGTGTGGCAACACCCAAGAGGTGGGGACTCTTCCCGGAAAAGGTAGGTGGGACTGGCCAGACTGCCTGCTGCTCCACTCCAGACGAGCCTCAATTCTAGGCCCTGGCCCACCGCAGGCCACTTTCATCTAGGCCCCAGCCACCGCAGGCCGCTTTCATCAAAGCGGGTCCTGAAAGCAGAGACAGCCCCGTCAACAGCTGTCTCCTCCCCACGGCCGAGTAGCGAGCTGCAGCTCCGGACTGAAAAGGGATGGAAGAGGGCAGTGGAAAAATTTCAACCTGGCTTCTGCACCAGGTGCCAGGAAGAGCAGGGCAGGTTTGGTCTTTGAAAGCTCCCAGCAGCTGGGCCAAGTCTTTGCCTATTAGGCACGCCCAAAAAAGGGAGAGGGAACTGTTGTGCAATCTTAGCAACAAAAAGGCTGCTGCTTTTTTTATTTTATACTTTTGTCTTTTTTGTTTTTATTGGTACCAGGGATTGAAGTCACGACTGCCTGCTTGCAAGGCAGGCGTTTATGCCACTGAGCTAAATCCCCAGCCCAGCTACTCTTTTCTTTAGCAGGTTTGGAGATTGAACCCGGGGGCACCCAAAGGTGGAGCTGCATCCCCATCCTTTTTAGTCTGGATACATTGACCAGATGGCAGCTGATGCTCTTGCCTCAAGCCTCCTGGCGAACTGGGACTACACACTCAACCAAAAAGATCTTATGCCTGAAGGCCTAGCAGTGTTCTAGGGTGATTGCTTTTATGGTGTCCTGCACTGTTTTACATTTTTTGATACTGGAGATTGAAACCAAAGCCTCACGTTAGGTAAATGTTCTGCCACTGAGTTACAGCACCAACCTTTCCTAAAACTGAGGGCAGGGTTCTACAGTCTTGTGGCTAGGGACCCTGAGGTTATCAGCTCTGACAAGACCCCAAAAGACACCCTTTTCACCCAGCCACACTATCAAACCAGTCACACTACTTACAGTCTAGGAGAGGAACCACTGACAATCACTGACATGGCATTGTTGGGGCATGACTAGCCATATTCTGGCCAACAAGAGTGGGGCCAGGTATCCAGCAGGTAAGGCTAGGGCCCAGCAAAACCAAAAGAATAGGCTATATGACCCTGAATCATCACTGCAGCAGAGCTAGGACATATGCTGGGAACAGAGACAAGAGGAACAAGAGGAAGAAATAGTCTCTGCAGTCTCTGTTAGGTTGTTCCTGCCTAACACCTTGAAATGGACTTATCACTTGCAACACAAAAGGCACTAGGGGCAGGAGGTGAGCAGTGGATGAGGTGACATGACCATGCAGGTTGTAGGGGCGGCATGATCCACAGGACCACAAGAGTGGTAATATAGAAATGGGGGCACAGCATTGGCCTGGGACAGGAATGGCCTGGGAACTGGCAGAGCACTCCCCACCCAGTAATAAGACAAGAGCCAGAATGCAGAGTCTCAGTTTTTTTTATCTTGGCAGGGCCTCTCTTGCAACATGCACACATGGCTTCAGATCTTGTTGAAAGCTGCAATGTCCACACTTT